TGAACTCTGGGCCTTGGCGCTGTCCCTCTTGAGCCACAGCGCCACTTCCGGCTTTTTTCTTTTTGCTTATGTGGTGCTGAGGAATCGAACCCAGGGCCTCACATGCAAGGCAAGCACTCTACCACTGAGCCACCTTCCCAGCCCATGGATTTCTTTTACAATAGTAGAAGAAAAGAAAAGTAGAACAATATTTGTTATATATAAAAAGGCTCACTGGCTGAGATGGGATGTTAGATTCTTATTGAGTTCTAGAGGAAGGAAAAATTGTCAGTGTTACTCAGTTTGTTGCGGGTAGACCTTGAATGTGAGAAAACTTTTACTTCAAAAATGAAATAAAAAACCAATGAAACTGACTAGCAGGCATACACCCTAGTCTGTGGCTTATATTCTAGAATTAACCATCTTAACCTTGTTGTTGTTGCTGCTCCAGGTTTAAGATTAAGATATATTGCAGTCATAAACTGCATTTTTAAATGGTAACTCCTTTGTGCAACTACTTAAAGATAATAAGTAAACCTTAAAAAAGGATAAAATTTATAACAATGTTATAGAATTTACTGTAATGGGTAGGTTCAAGGACAGAAGCAAGCAAGTAGATAAAAATTGAAGTTGTTGATGATATCCTTGTTCATAGTATGTGACTGTGATATCAAAGTACCTGGTCACTGGAAAGAAGATTCAAGGCAGCACAGGGAATAAAGCATACAATGAACTTTGGCACACTGAGGGCTGAGCTTGAATGCTCATAATACTTTATTGTAAGCTTTGAGATGAATTTGGGCTGCAGTTATACTGTAGAATGAAGGGCTGCATAGGTGGGAACTCTTTTGGTGGTTAGTAGGCCTCTGAATGCTTTTGAGCTGGGTTGATCAGGAAGAGAACTGTGATATTAGATGGTGATCTGTATTAGATAAAAGAAGAAACTGGAGGCTGATGATAAATGAGTCCGTGAAAGTATTAAAAATTAGAAATTATGGATTTGTTAGGAGGCTGGAATAAAATTGATCCTGAGAGAAAAGGTCAAAGCTATGTAAACTGTTGATCATAGATGATATTTAAGAGAAATATCAATAGAGAGCCAGAGATAGCTTGTCAGTGCATGAAGAACTGTTTTCAACACTTCAATGCTTCTCAACTTAAGTGTTCGGATTATCCCTTTGAAGAATTTCCCTTTTTGTTTTATAGAATTTATATTGTTTATAGAATTTATACTATACCATCCTTCATTCCTCTTCAGAGAAGTTTCTCTTTAAGTCTTTAGCCCACTTATTTATTGGGCAGTTGTTTCTTTGAGGATTTGTTGTTGGGGATTTAATTTTTTGAGTTCCAGGTATCTTTTAGATATGAGACCCTTGTCTGTTGTATGGCTAGTGAAGATGTTCTCCCAATCTGTGGGCTTTGCCATGCAGAAGCTCTGCAATTTCATGCAATCCCATTTGTCCAATCTTTCTTTGATTTGCTGTGTTTCTGGGTCTCTATTAAGAAAATTTCGGCCTGTGCCAAGGAGACCTAGGGTTTCTCCTATTCCATCCTGTAATGTTTTCAGAATGGCTGCTTTGACTCTGAGGTCTTTGACCCATTTGGAGTTGATTCTGGTACAGGGTGAAACATAAGGATCTAGCCTTAGTTTTCTACAAGTAGTTAACCAATTTTGCCAGCACTATTTACTGAAGAGGCTGTCTTTCTTCCGTTCTATTTTTTTAGCTCCCTTATTGAAGATTAGATGGCTATAGGTATGTGGGTTCATTTCTGGGTTTTCAATTCTATTCCATTGGTCCTGAGGTCTGTTCTTGTGCCAGTACCAAGCTGTTTTGATTACTATGGCTTTGTAGTGGAGTTTGAAATTTGGTATTGATATTCCTCCAGCACTCTTCTTTCTCTTAAGGATCTTTTTTTCTATTTGGGGTCTTTTATTGTTCCATATGAATTTTTGGATTGTCTCTTCTATTTCCTTGAAGAATGAGGTTGGAATATTGATAGGTATCACATTGAATTTGTAGATATCTTTGGGAAGTATTGCCATTTTCACAATGTTGATTCTTCCAATCCAGGAGCATGGGAGGTTTTTCCACTTTCTAAGTTCTGTTTTGATTTAAATTTAGGTTTTTTTTTTTAAAGCACTCATTAAAGATTTATTTGGTTCACAATTCTGGTGGCTGGGAAATCTAAGAGCATGGCCCTACCATTTGAAGAGGTTGGTTTATTTTTCTGTGTCCTTCCATTCCACAAGGGAGAAGGACAAAAGGGAAAAGTAGGCATGAAAGCAAAAGACAAGAGACTC